CACCCCAACACACACATGGTCTAAAATCCTGCTGAGGCTGACTTGAATATTTAACCATTTTTCAACAAGGGGATTCCATATTTTCATTTGCACTGGAATCTACAAATTATGCAAACAGTTTTCTATATAAACAATAAAAATATTATAATACATAGTTTGATAGTGTGGAAAATTCAAGCTTCAATTATTTTAGTAAATTTTAAGCAGGGATGTCCATCCTGTGGTCCATGAACCACATGCAGCCCAAGATGGCTATGCATGTGGCCAATAGAAAATCATAAATTTACCTAAAACTTTTTTTTGCTCATCAGTATTCGTCAGTGTCTGTGCATTTAATGTGTGGCCCAAGACAACTCCTCTTTTTCCACTGTGGCCCAGAGACCCAAAAGATTGGACATCCAGAGTAAATTTGGCCATCAGTTCTGAGGAAAGTAGTTTAAAATATGGCATTAGATTGATGTGAAACTGACTGTGACCACTCGGATTTTTTTTTTTTACTACATTAGAAACTCATCATTTCAAGTAGAAAATTCAGGAAAAGTACATTATATCTTCAAATATTCCTGTCAATTGAATGAAAAATGCTAATTCACAGGGTTGTAAACTCATTTTAATAATAGACACTGTTTTGCCCAGATTGTAATACATTATTGGTGATCATAAAATTTAATTGATAGTGATGTTTGTTAAACAAGCTGCTAAAAGAGAAAAATGTTTTAATTTTCCTATCTAAAATAATCAACTAAAGAATAGAACTGTTTATAGCAAATGATGTAGCCAGAAACAAAAATATAGCATATTGATTGTGAGTATGGTTGTGAAGCCTCATTGCCTGCATGTGTATCCTGGCTTTTCCATTTTCTAGTTCTGTGACTACAGATTGGAGAAAAGGGCTATGAAATAACACTGGTTTCATTTAAATTATAGTTTTCATTTAATTGAAATAATTTAAGGGTAATTCTCTCTCTTGAGAGACTCATATTTTCAATTTCCTATTCTAGGTCCATATCTGGATAGCTTATAAGCTTCTCAAATTTAAAGAGTTTAAATAGAAATCTTGATCTTCCTCCAGTTCCTAATTGGTCTTCACCACTGTTCTTCAAATTAGTAAGTAGTAACTCCACTTAGTCCAATGATAGGAATAAAGCCCAGGGATTATTTATTATACTTTTTATTTTTTTTATTCCAAACATATGGCATATAAGCATATATCATAGGCTCTGCCTCCAAAAACATATCTCAGAAGTAACCTTTACTCACTATCTTCACCATTTTCACTTCAAGCCAATCTATGTTTACCTCTTGCCTAGACAAATGTTAGCTTCCAACTAGTATCCCATCTTTCATTCTTTCCTCCACTCGAACTTCCTTAAGAGTCTATTATCTACATAGTATTAATGTAATCTTTTTATAATATAAATCAAACCATATCATTTTCCTATTTGAGATATGAAATATTCCAAGGGCTTCCCATCACTTCCAGAATTCATTCAACCACAAACAAATAAACAAGCACATCATCTTACATCATCTTGCCCCTGGCCATGTCTATGACCTCACTCCTATCCACTGATGACCTCTCCTTATTCTCTTTATCCACATTGCCATGCTGCTGTCGCTCAAATATACAAAGGATATTCCTGCTTCAGGGACTTCTGCTACCACTTTCTTCTCCTTGAATGCTTTTTCCTCACATATTCAGATTAATTTAGATCCTTGATCACAGATTTCTCTAACCACTTCTTCCCAGACAGCCCTCCTTATTTTTCCTTATTATTTATCTTGTAAAATCATGTCTTTAAGCCACTTATTGCTAATTGTTATTCATGAATAAATTCTTAATCCTTTACTAAAGTACAAAGTATGTGATGTTAGAACTTTGGTTTTATTGTTGGCTAGTTTACTCCTAGCTATTAACAATAGTCACACTTAGAAATTAATAAATATTTGTTGAGTGAAGACAGAGCTACACAATGTCCATGGAAAAGTAGATGACCATATTTTCATAAGCTCTGGTTTGAAAGAATTTATTTACATTATTTTCTTCAAATATAGATTTAGAAAGAAAAAATATATTTTTTAAAAAGGTATAAAGTTTTATAGAAATGACTGTAATAATCTTGGCACATATTAAGTTTTCATAAATAACAGTGAGTAGTAAGTCATTATGCTATTCATGGTAAGCATTCAGTACATATTTGACAGATGAATAAATGAATAGGAGATTTATTGGTAAAATAAGTAAGCTATGGTAACCACAAAGTTAAGAGAGAAATAAATAAAATTAAAAGTTTAGTAAATTAAAGCAAAGGTAAATATTTGAAATGTCTATATTTTTTCAGTATGATCTAGCAATTATAGAAAAGGAAACGTCCAATCATTTATGAGGTGTTTCATTTTGATTTAATTTTCTTGTAGCTAACAAAGAATCTTATCAGAAAGATCAGGTGAGACAGAGTGATATATTAGGACAATACTAATTGCTATAACAATAACATCCAAAATTTATTTATATTTATTTAAAATATATTTATTATACTAACCTCTAGCTTAATATAAATTTATTTTTTATTCACATGAAGTACAAGTGAGTGTTTCTGATTTCAGTTATTCTTCACATAGAGATTTGGGAACTCGGGCTGCTTTCTTCTCATGGCTTTAACATGTGTTTTTAGGGGTCACTAAATAGGGAAAGAGACTGAAGTTTCACGCATAGAAGATTCTTTTAGATCAATCAGAAAATGGCACATTTCTTGATGATTCACATTTTACTGATTAGAAGTAAGTCACATGGTCACACATAAACACACAAGAGTGACTGAGACATTTATCCCATGAGGAGAAGTAAATGGGATTATTGAACATGCAGCTGGGCTTTTAACTAAGGGAAAATAAAGCAGTTTTTCTAGAATAAATTGTGTTGTCATATATATGTGTGTGTATATAGACATAAATATACACAAACAGAGAATTGGGCAAAAGTGGGTTTACAGTTTTGAGTGATATTCTTTGAGTTGTTAAAGCTATTTCAGTAATCATAACCTGATTGTCTTTAGCCATATAAACAACTGTAAACCTACTTTTGACCACTCCTATATATTTGTGAGTACATGAAACACAGAATTTTTCTTGTGTATTATTATTTATTAATTATTGTATTATTTATTTGTATTATATAAATCTACTTTTGACCACCCCTATGTATATGGCAACAAAATTATACATATGATTTGGGTTGGTAATACTTGGAAATATGACAAGATCTTTTTTACCAAGTTCAAAATTAGGAAAATAAATTCACCTTAGAAAGTTAAACTCTAAAAAAACTTCATTATGGATGTGAGCTTAGATGTAAAACATAGGAAATAACAAGTATAGCTTCATGGATGCTAGAGTTTTCACCTGTAGGGATGAATGTATCAACATATCATACATAACATTACATACAATGATATAATAGTCTATACCATTAAAGAATATATCAGAGTCATGGAGACAAATGTTGTCAGTGTCAATGTAAAGCTGTGTAAGGAGAATTAATAAGTGTATATCATGTGTTGCAGATCATTCTTATGCAACTATCTTAGCCTGATGTCCTTAAGCATTTAGATCACCTAGTTTTACATGGTCTAAGACATGTCAAGGAAACCTGTGACTTTTGTGTAGCTATGCTGACCCAAAGAGAACTTGTTGATCACGCACCTTTGAGGGTTCCTTAATCCTGCGGTAGGGAGTACTCAAGGTAGTTATGTAACAGCTTCTGATTGTGATTCAGTAGGAAAATGCTGACAATGACATGCTAATATTTATGAGCTGTCCAACAGCTACATTTTCACTGTAAGCTAGTATATTGACATTCTGGTCTCTATTCTAGGATCGTGTGCATTTTTATTAATCTTCTGTCTTTTCAGGGCTTGCTACTTATGCTAAAATGGAGAAAAGGGCAAATCTTTTGGTTTTTATAGTTTGGAATCATATTACAAATTTTTTTTCTTGTTGTTTCTTCTATCACTTCTACTTTCACTTTTTACTATTTTATACATGTTAGAATTTTAAAGCAGTTATGTAACATCAGGAAACCTATGACCTTCACAAATACTTCCAGGTATGATTTGAAAGTGACTAAAGAATATTTAACTGTGAAACAAAAAAGAAAAAGAGTATCTAAAGCAAAATTTACATTTTGTGCAAATTAGGTACCATCTTGGACAAATACTAGAACAGTGAAGCCAGGTAACTACTGAATATGTCTTTAGTGTTAGAAAATAGGCATGTATTTGTATTTTAAAATATATTTGAATTGTATTTTCTTAAAGTTTAAATTCCTTCAAATAGTATAACTAATTTTTAACTCTTCTTTTAGTGTTACTCTGATCCATTTGTGCTTATTTATGCAAGCATAACAATTTTCTTTCCTATAAACTAAAAACAATTACTTTATGTAGAAATTATTTAGTAAGTGTATGGCAGAAATTGGCTATTCATGTCAAAGCAAAAAACATATAAGGAACATTGCTTGTAAACCATACAAATTAAAATAACTTGAACATCCTGAGAAAATGTTTTCAAATTATCCATTGTAGATACTGAATTTTATACTATCTTCCAAATAAATGTGACATTTAGAGCAAAAAAGTTTATAATTTTTAAAGGAGCCATTAGATTCAGTTTGACTCCCATACATACAAAACTTTTTATTGAAAAAAAATATCCTCAAGGCAAATACAAAGTAGTATTTTGACTTAAAATCAAAGGAATTAAGAACAACTTTAGCCATTCAATTGAGCATATCCAAAATTTGAAAATATGAATTAATTTTGAAATGTACATAAAATTTACTATAGAAATTTTATTTTCAAACTAAATAAGATGAGGTATGGAGGTATTTAGTATGACTATAAAAATGCAAATGACCTCAAAACTAACTTCAAAAGTTATTTTTCAGGGAAAAGAAGAAAAAAAAAAACTCTGAGTTTAATTAAGGTGATTATTGTTTGCAGGCCTGCTTCACTGGGTTTCTTTGTGGTGGTGAAATAAGGAGAATTAGCTGTTTTACCTCCTTCTCTCAAAGAACTGATGCCATTTTTACACAAACATATATGGTGTCCTCTTCTGAGACTTTAGTCAGTAGCTTTCCATCTCCAAGAGCTACAAGACTTTGGACCATAATGAATACTTACGCAGTTGATCAAAGTAAGTAGATGAAAGTAAGATATGGAGATGTTTGCATTTAAAAAAGAGTATATACTGAAGCGTTTTCTGAGGTACATGATATATCAGGAGCACAAAACTGTCTTAGAATTCTTTGGTTAAATGTCACTTTTTAAGCTTTGTTTTAAGAATATTGATATACTTTAGTAATAAATACTCTTTCTAAAAAAGTACAGAAGTGTTCATTAATAGTTTTTATTCTGAAATATAAATTTGGGAAGATAACTGGACCCCCAATTTCAGTTCATTTTGTTTTAACTATCAGTAAAACTTATATAAAATGGCTTTGTACTATTTCCTTCATTGTGTTTACTTAATATCCTTTAAATGTTATATATAAATGTCTAGTCCTATAAATGTATTAAAAAAGTCAGATTTTTAAAAATCTAGTTTTTAATTATGATGAGGTATTTTGATAAATTGAATATGTTTTAAATTTTCTTATTTAATTTATTAAATCACATAATATCATATTTTAAATAATATATTGTATGTTAAATTACACATTAGTTCTTCATATAGTCAGTGCCACTCAGAACAATCAGAATGAGAACTATAGCCCTTAAAAAGATACTCATTCTGTAAGGAAAATATTTTTGAAGGCTGATATTATAACCAGAAGGTCTGACTGTTCTATTTTTTTGTCTACAAATTGTGTTCTTTTAAGAATTAAATTAAAATATAATATGATATACAGAATATTTTACCTGTTTAGAAAGTGAAATTATATTTTCTAACCTTCCTAATCCAACAGATTAGTCATTGATTCTATAAATGATAAAGAGTTGTAAATTATCATGTTTTAGAATTCCAAGGAACCATTTATGCATAATTTATAATATGTCTATTCTACCTAACAGCATTTGTTCTGACTTTGGCCTTCCCATGGAGTGTGAATAATGAGTTATATAGTCACTAAACTTCCTTATACACTTTTATATGCAATATGCTTTATAGAGCCATATTTGTCTGCATAGAATGGTTGTGAGATGGCAGTGCAATTTGCAGAAGAGTCAGTCCAGGGCCAAGGTTGTTTATTTTTTCTTCTTTCTTTGTGTTTTTCTTTTGCTTTTTGGTTTTTGTGTTTTGGGTTTTTTTTTTGTTGTTGTTAATTTGGCTTTTTCTTCTCTGATGGTTCTAAAGAGAGAGACATTTTCAAGCATGATATCCTTTCAACTGCTGATTTGTCAGTATTAAGTATCAATATACCCTTTGGAAGAACTGATTTCTACGAGACAGCTTTCAGCAAAATATAGTCTTTCCTCTTCCACAGATGTTTTCTCTTCTCAGTCTCTGAATTTTGATGTTCATGATCCAACACAACTTGTCTGAGGCACAACATCAGTACCACGAATGCCGGTGCACACTTCAGCTGTCACACCAGGATACTTTTTCCTCGATAGGGAGAGAGGATCTCATTTATCATCTCCTCCTTACGGACAGATTTTATTTTTCCTACTCAGTCTTTGTTATTTGACAATGATCAGACTGTTGCCTTTTCTGCTATCACAGTGAGTTGGGTAATTAGTGGCTTTCCAGGGGCTGATACTGAGTTAAACGGGCACTCATCCCTCTCCCCTGGATTCCCGACCACAACCGCCCCCACATGCATACCTCCAATTGCCTCTAGGGGGGCTCAAGAGGATACTGAAGAATATTCAGCTGTTTCCTTAATTTCAAGAAGAGAGTACTGGAGATCGCTAAGCTCCTCGATGTCTCCCATTTCTCCTGCTAAGATAATTATATTTAAACAGGTAGCCGTCTTAAACTCATCAACTCTGCACAGGTTCACTGCACAAACCTCCATTCCCAGTGAATATCAGATTATTACTGAAGCATTTAGCAACCAGAGACTCACAAACACCAAATCACAAACTGCTGATTCCTTAAGTGAATTAAGCCAAACATGTGCAACATGTTCTATGACTGAAATAAAATCCTCTCATAAATTCTCAGATCAAGTTTTGCATAGCAAACAGTCCCATTTTTATGAGACATTCGGGATGAACTCAGCGATATTAGCCAGCTGGTATGCACTAATGGGAACTCAAACTATCACTTCTGGGCATTCGTTTTCTTCTGCTACTGAAATAACACCATTAGTGGCATTCACAGAATTGCCATCTTTATTTCTGTCTAAAAAGAGTACAAAAGGCATAATTTTATCCTCATCCTTGGAGGAAGCCATTACCCTATCAAGTAATTTGGATGTTGATTTATGTTTGGATAAGACTGGTTTATCCATTGTCCCTTCACAAACTGTGTTTTTAGATCTGAAGAATCCTGATTTGACTTCAAAACTGACTACTGATGATCTGCTGCTATCAAGAAACATTTTTAAAATATTGAAAGTGGGAAAATATGGTATAACTATGGGTCCCACTGAGGTGCTGAATCAAGATGATTTATCAGGCATGAAAGAGAGTAAATGATCTCAAAAACAGTTCAAACTTCTCACAAGTGATAGTTCTCTGGATTTTGAATTAAATTTACAGAGTCACCCAGCAACTGTACATTCAAATGACCTCAGAAACAACCCTCCATCTTACATGGCCTCGATGTCCGATATTTTAGAAGCAACCTCTAACATTGCATTATATACCATTTCACCAGCTCAGTCACTTCCAATGCAGACTTCTTTCCCCATGTCTGTATTTATGCCAGATTGGCCATATTATACAGATCATCTGACTTTAACATCTGATTTAAGAGAAGAGTTCAGAACTTCTTCAGAATGGCCCCTGAGGGAACGCCAGCCCGGTGTGCACGACTGGGAATCTGCTGCTGTAGGCCAGAGGCTTCCCATCACTAGATCTCTTACTTTGTCTTCACTGGAGTCCATCTAGTACCTCGCCAGCTGATGGTATCTGGTGAGTTTCTCAGTTTCAGTTCAATAAACTTTTAGAAATGAGTTTCTTTTCTACAGAGCAGAAAGAGCCTGTTGTAGTCACCAGGTGCTCTAAAGAGCCTCTTTGTAATCAGGGCAGCAGCCACTCAATGAAGATGGCACCTGCTGTTGTACCAGGCACAGATGGTTATTCTTTATGCGCTGCCACAAAGGCTACTGGATCAATAGAAGAGTTTCTGGGAGATGGCTATACTGCTGGCAAACAATCAGAAGCTGAACTAGTTCAATCCATTACAATGGATCTTTCAAAGTTTAGGAATAACTTGTATTATTCTCATTTCTTGAAATAGCTTGTTAGTCATTTTGAACACAACATAACATACTTTCCAGTGGTGATATTTTATTTTTTTTTAATGGGAAAGATGAAGATATTAAGGGAAATTTGTTGGGTTTTCCCATCTTATGTGGTTTGGTTTATCATTTCTCAATGCAAAGCTGTGATCCCTTCATGACTATAACTCAGAATATAAATTAAATACATGTCTTGTATTTAACAAAATACCACATAAATATTGAAACAAGATAATATTCCATCTGTGAACTTGAAATAATTAATGAAAAGATACTTTTCTGAGATAACTGTTCTTACTTTAAAACATTTTAGAAATCACTAATCTTCTCTACCCTTGTAATTGCTATCAAATTGGAAAGCATGCAAAAAAAAGTTTAATGAATTTTACTTAGAAAAAGAAGATTTTTTACATTATTTAAAGAAGTTCTGTCTTGTAGGATTTCAAGTGTAATTGTGGCAGTGAAGTTAACTTTCATTCAATGAAAAGGTGGTTTTGTATGTGTTTATTATTGTATGTGAGTGCTTTAGAAGAGACACATATAATATCTTATAAATGTTTACATGTGTAAATTTATGTCTGGCAACTCAGTAATATGAAAGACCATATCATCATATTTATTATATTCAGTATGATATGATTTTCTTTACAAAATTTCTAAAAAATACATAAGTTAAATTATAATTTTTTTAAAGATTGTGTTTATTTTTTAGAGAAGGGGGAAGTAGGGAGAAAGAGAGGGATAGAAACATTGCTGTGTGAGGGAAACATTAATCCATAAATGTACCCTCCCACACGCCCCCAACTGGGGACCTGGCCCACAACCAAATTATAAGTTTAAATGAAGTATTCCCCTTGTACTTTTATAAGTGAAAGCTTTTTGTATAACTAGTATGACTCATCAGAAATGCCTAATACATCACTTGTCACATAAAAGTTTCTTAGTAAATGCAACTGAGTACACCTTCTACTCTTACACAGTTAGTCCCTTAGAAATAATCAGGAAATCTACATGTATAGGAAATCAAATCCTAGGCTTGCTCTTTATGAACAAAACTTTGTCACATTCCATTTTTCCCATTCCCTCACTACAACAGTAAACAATTTTTGACAATTTTGACCTGCTCCAGTTCTCTCAGTCTCCTCTCAGTTTTACTTGCTTTGCTCACTATTTTAGATATGATAATCAATTATTTACAAGGTACATGTTGGCATTTTCCAATATGTTCACCCACTGTTTTTGTCATGGCCAAATCAGGGAATAGATTGCACACTCTAATTGAATATTTGGGAATAGTTTAATGGAGTAACTGTTTACAAAGATATTGGTAAAATTTCAGGAAAATGGTGAGAGATATTATGGTTCTAAAGGAAATAGTAGTAGCAGAATATCATTACTACACCTACACTGAGAGGGATAAAATAAAAAGCAGTTATCAAACCCCAGAATCTAAGAAGAAAAGCTACCAGTTTACAGAAACCATGAACTTTAGGAAGAGGACATGGGCAATCCAAGGCCAAAGAACCAGGAGGGAACGAGGATATATAGAGGCAATCTCACTTCTCTCTTGTCTTCTAGTACCCTCCTGGTGCTTTTCAGTGACCAAACCAACCAGTAGCTAGAAATTATCTTTAAAAACACATCTGGCCTAATCTCTTCGTGTAAAGGAAAGATGGGGTAGTGATGGGGGCATCCCATCCTGCAGAGTCTCCCCAGCTGCCACGGATGAGGAAATAAGTCATTCCAGATGCTCTTGGTCTGCCAGGAGAAGGGGGTGCTGATTCCCTCTAGTGGAGAATGCTCCAAGCCCTTCTCTTGAAGTGGCTTTTATTGAGAATGTTATACACAGAAGTATACAGTATGTATGCAAAGCTTATCCATCAATGCCTAAAGACTATGTTTACAAAAAAACAGAGATCATAGATAACAATTGAAGGAACACAGTGATTTTCCTTAAGCCAGGGTCTGGTAGACAGGGTGACGCCCATTCAACCCCAAAATCTCGGAAACTGATCTCATACTATGTTCAGTCCCCAAAGATTAGTACTCATTAACTTGAGGGCATTCTTAGCAAAGTAAGTTTCATAAGATTTAATGTATTCCTTTTCCAGGTGTAATTGCCCCTGGGGAACTGCCCAGATCCAGTCTAGGGCTGTACCTGCCCAGTCAGGTGGATGGAGGAGAGCAGACAAGAGATAAGGAGGCTTCTTTCAGATAGAATGAGGACTCTGGCCATGACAAAGCCAAGGGGTGAGGATCTTTTGCCTCTTCTCCACATTCCCCAAGTCCTTCCCTGATGGCCCCTTGTGACTGTGCCTGTCTTAGGTTGCCCCTGCCATTGAGGGGTCTTATCTATCATTGACTAACCAGGCATCCTCCAGGGCCAAGCAGGGTGATGTGAGGTTGGCAGGGGCTGTGCCCCTGGCAGGGGGACAGGTTTTGTCTCCTCAGTGGCCTATTTTCTCAAGGCCTCCTTCCTCAGCTCCAACCTTGGGGCCCTCTCTTCTGTTGGTGATGCTACAGTCCCTGAAACCAGGTGGGACAGTTCCCAACAGGGTAGGACACAGTAGAATGGTCTATAGTGCTAAAATCTTGATAAAGTTCCAGGACACTGCCAAAATATAGAACAAGTGTATAATTAATGAAAGAAGAATTCCTAGTATTCTTCTAAAGTAGACCATTGGGTACTATTATTGTTCCTTACATGCTACTTCCATACTAAAACACTAAGTAAGGTAGAAAGCCTGTGATTCTGGGTTCCCTTACTCTGGTGGATTCCTTGGGTTGAAGTGGGTTGCTGAGGAAAAAAAAAAAAAAAAGACCCTCCAAGCAACCTTTTGTAATAAGCAAAATGAGGCTTCATGAAGGTACCTCTATCAATATGTTTCTTGTTATTTTGAACTATAGAATTGCTGGTTCTGTAATATTGTGACAGCTCTCTTCAATTGGATCAGAATTGTCTTTCTCACACATCCTCTAAACCAAAGCAGCCTTGTGATTTGGTTTAACTCATGAGGCAAATGAAGTTTTAGAGAAGAAAATGTATTATTTTCTAATAGTAATATGGTTTTCTTTTCTTATTCTAATCATTTGGGAAGAATGTAACAGAAAGCAACCAGAGCTTTCTGATCCAAATATTCTCTAGTAGCAATGGATAACAAAAATTTTACAAAATAAAGTTTTCAGTTTAACTTTTCTATTCATAGTCATAAAATTCTAAATTAAAATATGCTGCAATACAATGTTAATAAAACTCTAGTAACTGACAAAGGGATATTTTATCCAGGAATAAAAATATGAGTCAAATTAAGACATTTAATGATATAATTTACCACATCATTAGGTAAAACAACATTGACAATTTATTTACTGAGTATTTTTCTTTTGTTTTTACCATAAGGATTTACACTATCTTCAATTTTTTTTGCTATTTATTATTAACAAAATATAAAAACACAACAATATTCAATGTTATTTTTAAAGTTGAAACAGAAGAGGTAGTTTCATTAAACTCATAAAGAATTCAAAACACTTTATGTACACATGTGCACATAATTTATACATACCACTTAAAAATCTAATGATACAATGCATTAATTAATTTAAAAAAATACTACTGCTGCTTAAAATTATGCAAAGTTTGCAAAGTAAAGTTTATTGAATAACCAAAAAAGTAGATAAATGATGATATGGTGTCCTTGTCTGAGGTCTGAGACTTCTGCCCTTAATGCTACATAAACACTATATTTTAAAAGTATACAACAATTTCAAACAAGTTAAAATGGAATAGTATTTAGAACTTGATCAAGTCATTTTGAAGTGGAAGAGAATAACCAGGGAAATGTTAAATAGGTATGGCAGTAAGGGAGCTTGTATGCTTGTACAATATATTAAAATAAATTGTAACAAAATAGTATGGTATTATTGCAAAGATGCATAAAAAGGAAATGGAATAGGAAATCAAGATACACATGATAGGTATAAAATATGTAAAAAGGGGAGATTTTAATTGATAGAGCAAGATTTTAATATTTATTAAATTTGGTTGATGCATTGTTATTTTGAGAATTATTTCTACCTTACACCAAAATAAGTTCCATGAGGACTAACTAGATAAAATTTCAAAAATAAGTATTAAATAATTAAGATAAAATATCAGTTAATATTTATTTGATCTCTAAATGGACATGTTTAAGCCTGACACTTGTGGTCTTTGGCCTGTGGGTAGGGCCCAAGTCTCTAACTCTGCTAATATGAGAAGTAACTTGATTTTCCACGAACATAGTTTTTCTCACTTCTTTATACTATTGTCAGTCACTTGTACATAGGAAGTTGATAAAAAGATATTTCTGTTGCCTCCCAAATCTATTTATACTTGCAGCATGTAGTTTAGTATGACAAGTTGTCACTTTTATGTACATCCATCAGCAATATTTTGAGATGTTATTTAATGTCAATAATTAAGATATTACTCAAACTACTCGACAATGTTATCATCTAAGATTAGCATAACATATGTTCTTTCTTAATAACCATGTTTCAGTTAGCAACACGTTTTATTGAAGGCACACAATGCCCTGGTCTCTGTTTATGATATAAGTGATACACTACTAAACAAAACAGATGCTTCCTGTCCTCCTAGAGCTTAATTTCTAGCAAACACTAAGCATA